TAATATATTTATCAGGTATCGTGGTTTTCAGGTGAGTTAGTCCCGAGGCATCAAGAGGGAACATTTAGTGGAAAGATAAAAATGGAAGCGAAAGTTTTTGCATAAACTTTATTGATGAGCGTACAGGAATCCATATTTTACTAGATCGATACAAAGCTACACAGCTGAGACACTGAATGAAGCACGTACAGGAAGTGGACGTCTAGTACAGAGAACGTATATCAGCGTGTACTGTGTATACTGTGGCAGTTTTGGATAAACTGTACTTGTGGCATTTACACTGTTTACGATTCGTCAACTCGTTTTCTTTTCATCGTTACTTTTTTTTTTAAAACAAAAGAAAGAAACTTATAGAAAAGACTGAACACAACACAACTTCACAACAGTCGGTTATCATCGGAGGAGGTAAGCATGCAGTTCGTCGGTGTAAATATTCTACTGTGCTCACGAAAGCAGGTCGGCTACAGAGTAAAGCTTTGCACACAGAGGGATGAAGCGCGGCGGGAAAATCTGTTCGTGAATCTTCTCCTCGATGACACGTATTCACAAATCTACAAACCTGGACATCAAAGTGCTGCTCAGTGAAATGAAATCCACCCGATCCCAAGTCAGGATTTGCAAAATCAGTCTCTGCGACTCCTGAGATCAGCGACCGCTTCACACTCAAGACGAGCAACACGTCACGTCCCCCGTCTACGAGGGCCGGTCCTCTGAATAACTGCTCAACTGAAGTCTACCCTGTGAATCAAAGTGTGTGCGTGTGTGTGTGTGCGTGTGTGTGTGTGGTTGTGCGTCGGGAAGCTTCATAGGCACTCGTTCCAAAATAAAAATGTCCCACGGCCTGTGTGGACCTCGCAGACCTGCTCGGGTCCGTCAGACGAACTTCTCGCTCGCGGTACCAGGGGGAGCTGCCAACACAAAACAGCTGCATGCTGAGTGAGCACGGCAACACTGACCTGCAGGGGGCGGAACACACTCAGAGTGAGACCCAGTGGACTTTAACGAGCTGGAACAGAACACTAACAGTTTCCCTGTTGTTCTACTGTGTTTGATCAGAATACACATTCCGTCGTTTTCCTTGCACCTACCGAGTAAAATGCTTTTTTTTCCGTGTCAACCTCTCGCAGCCTTCACATCACTGAGCAAACTCCGGTCTGCACAGTCTTACCGTCACGGTTCCTACAATACCTGAAAGTACAACGGACAGTGTGAGTCACAGGTGCGTCCCACTTCAGTCGCACGGTCACAACTCAGAAGGTGAAGCTGATACGAACCCGTTGAGGTTGGCGGGCTCGGAGTGGTACACGTGTTTGCCCTGCTCGGCCATTGTGGGGGCGTGATGCGCGCCGCGCTGGCTCTGACTGGCCTTCAGCGTTTGGTAATGGCTCTTGGGTTCGATGTGGCTCGTGGGCAGGGGCATGTGACACGTCCCCCGCGCCCCCCCGCTGACCTCCGGCTCAAGCTTGTCTGGATCGAGACGCTTGCGGGTCTTTGTCGGGGAGGACAGGTCGATGACCTTGATGTCCGGGATGCTGGTCTGCCTCATGATCTGCTCGGAGTGGGCCTGCTGCAGCTTCTTCATGTGGTTGATGGCCACGGCAGCGTTGAAGGCTTGCTGTGAAGGGAACGGAGACACCTGTGAGACACGGAGCGTTTGCAGGACGGGAGCATGCTCTCTACTGAGGGACATTCCTGCAGGCTCACAAAAGTGTTTGAGTCGTACTTAAGAAGGTATTTTCTGATGTGAATACTTGTTTTTTGTATTTTTAGCTTTGTCCGTATCTACTCTTGTCCTTTATGTGTGTGGGTGACACTTTTGTTTGCTTCTTTGGGGACGAATAACGTTTTTTGATTTATTCCGGGAGGCTGAGAATCATGTTGAGTCAAGAAAACTCAAAAAGTACATTTTTGAAATGTCACAGAAGGAAAAGTAGAATCCATCTCCACCTGTTTATTACTGCAAATAACTGAGACTCGCCCTCGATCTACAGTCGTTGGCCTCGATTACAGAACAATATCTTATTAAACTGGCCTTAATCAGGAAGGACTTAGGTAGGCTCAAGATTAATCTATTATAAGCTGCAGCTCCTAAAGGAGTTTAACGCATCAAGGCCAAGAAATCAATGAGGACTGACCTTCCACTTGGACTTGGCGAAGTTCTTTTGGATCTGAACGCTGACAGAATAGTAGATGTCCTGGCTGCGGGCCGTCTTTCCGATTATCCTGAAAAAAGAGAGGACGGAGAACAACGTTTGTTCCACGTTAGATTTAATCCTGCGACGGCTCTGTTTCCATCGTTAAAGACATTATAAGAAAATCTAAGGAGCATTACTCATTGTTCGCTTTTTAACAGTTTCCTATTGTCAGCCTTCATTAGAATTATTCTTATAAGTCCTCACAGTGACACTCACCAGGGATGTCTGAGTGCTTGGTCAGTGCTGTAGCGCATGTTGGGATTCTTCTGCATCATGTTACGGATGAAGTCTTTAGCTGCAGATAGAGAGATGAAGGAGTTCAGAGCAAAGGGAGAGTGTGTGTTTGTGTGTGTGTGTGTGTGTGGAGACGTGAAGCAGCTGCAGCAGGCGACACACAACAACACAATACGTCCGTGCTAATATTCTGCAGCTTTACCAGATTCAGATATGTCGTCCCAGAAGGGGGAGTCGAACTCATACTGCGCCTTCATGATCTTGGAGAAGAGTCGCGTCTCGCTCTCTTCATAAAAAGGAGGATATCCACAGAGTCTGCGATGATGAGATAAGATTTATTAACATCGGGAAATACTGAATATTCTACAGTAAGGTGCATCTGTGTGTAACAGTGTGAGCATTTGGAACGTGGTGCCGCGTCAGCTTCATTATTCTGTGTGCAGGTCGACGTCAGAACATTTTCAGCTTTTAAAAAATTTATGAAAATGCAGCAACTTACTTATTAATTTATTTTTTGACAGTGCTTCTCTATGATGAAGACCATTAACTTTCATTTTCATACCGTCTTTTTCTTTGTTAATCTTCTTTCTTATGTTTATTTTTGATTATTATTATTATGAGGAGGGTCGGGAAACAAGGTGTGTTCTGAATATATATACAGCATATATAAATGTGTGTGTTTTTTATTATATATATATTCACAATTGATGCAGATTTAATTCAAATTCTTTCCGTCTCTTTCTGCTGATGTGTTGCAGTCGTGGTTCACACTTACAAGATGTAGGTGATGACTCCGATGGACCAGCAGTCCACTGCTTTACTGTACGGCTTCTGAGCCAAAACCTCTGGAGCTGAAAGTGACAGACGATGTCAGCGAGTCCAGAGACGGACAGGTATAAATATTACATCCTGTCCAAACTCTCCACAGCGGCTGCGTGTCCTCGTATTCTCAGACCCACCATGCATCATTCATGAGACATCCTCACCTACGTATCCTGGGGTGCCACAGGCGGTCGACATGATGTCGTTGTCCACCATCTTCGAGAGGCCGAAGTCACTGATCATGACCTTGGAGTTTTCATCCGGGCAGTAGAAGAGGATGTTCTCTGGCTGCACAGGGACAAACACAGGAGAGCCGTTCACACGCTGCCGAACATCTCATCGTCTTCTCACACATTTCACTTTGGATAAAAGTTTCAACGCCTCTGCCCATTAAAAGTAAATGTTTGGGCTTATCAATCCGGAATTTACAGGAATAGTTTTCTTGCCGAGAGTTAGAAGAGAAGATTAGCGCGGCTCTAAAGGCAAACTGTTTCCTGGCTCCGTCCAAAGAACCACAACTGAACCTTGGTTTTATCGTCATCTGCTCCTCAGTGTTTGAGCAGAACATCATGATGTCACAGGGAAAGTTGACCTATGACCTTCCGGATATTAATTCTTGAATTATGAAAAAAAACAACAACACGTAATTTGTGACGTCACAGTGACAGCGACCTTTGACCTATGACCACCAAAACCTCAGCAGTTCATCCTCAAGCTCCAATGAAACGTTTGTTCCTGATTTGAAGAAATTCCCTCGAGGCGTTCGTGAGAAACCTCGTTCACAACAGTGGGACGAACGGACGGACGACCTGAAACCACAACACCTCCGGACATGACTGTCCTCAGCAGAGACGCATAACAAACAAGCTCTGATGTCACTGCTCTGACAAACAGGGGCAGGCAGGTGTGTTCTGTTACCGGTGGACGAGTTCACCTGCTCCCAGTCACTTGTGCTGAGCTAAACAAACCGAATCCACAGATACGAGCGCTCAGAAAGTTTCTTTAACAAGTAAAGAAGCAAATAAAATTTAACAGTGTGAGATAGAATAGATCACGTGACCCTGAAATTATATATAAATAAGTTAAACATAGTTAAAAAGGCTTAAATATGTTTAAACAGGTCTTTAATATATCAAGTTCATGACTCTTGATATTTCTTTGTTGACATTGGATTCAAATTTAACTCATTACATCTGTGAAAATCTGAATTTTAACTTCTTGAATATATATATATATTTATTTTTCTTGAAAAATGTACTTGAGTCATTTAAACAGTTCAGATTTTCGGTATAAACAGACGTATTTGAATGATTTCAGGTTCGTACCTTGAGGTCCCGATGCACTACGTCGTTTTGGTGCAGATAGCTGACGGCCTGCAGCACCTGCTGGATGACCCTGCTGGCGTCCTTCTCCGAGTACACCCCCCGGTCCAGTATGCGGTCGAACAGCTCCCCGCCTGAAACGCTGGCACCAAGAAATCACCGGCATCACACTCTGTCACCTCAAATCTGAATTCCTCTAGTTCTACGATAAACAGCTGGGAAACTCACAGCTGCATGATGAGGTAGTAATGAGTCCGACTCTCGTAGAAATCCTCCATCCCCACGACGTTGTCGTGTTTGATTCTGTTTGAGAAAACAACACACTGATCACGTCTCTGCAGAATTCACCACAGACTCAGAGACGGAGCAGATGAAAGGAAAGTCGAAGCTTCACCTTCTCAACACGGCGATCTCGTTCTCCAGGTTCAGGTCCGTCTTCTGTTTCTTCTTCACACACTTCATGGCAAACATCTTCCCCGTCTTCTTCTCCTTCACCATGTAAACCTCTGAGAACGCCCCTCTGTTCACAAACACACAGACACACAGACACACACTCTATGACGACAATGTTGAACTCTAAAAACAAAATGCATTTCTAAATTTTACGTGGCAAATGAAATCCTTTCTTTCTTTCTTTTCCAGCCTTGACAATTTCTTTGCAGGCCTGTACTTTCAAACGCATTAAAGAAGATAAGATATAATAATGTGACTAAATTTTGCTTTAATGGGGAAAAAATTCCCGCTTTTAATTTGACAAATAATTTGGGTAAAAGATTGATCATGTTACAGGGAACATTAAAAAAAGTAAACGGGGGTCGGGTCCACAGATACGAGGACTGCTTACTTGATCTATTTACAATCTTTATAAAAAACAGAAGAGGACGTTCAGATCTAAAGGAACTCTGAATCCGGAGCTACAGCCACAAGATGGTTAGCTTAGCATAGCTTAGCTTAGCAATGCAACTGGCAACACCTGGAACGGTACAAAAACCAAAAAAGCTCAAGTACACCTGAAAAACCACCAACTGTCTTTTATACACTTTGAATTCTGTGCAGATTTAAACAAACCGGATATAAAACGGATCTGCAGAGGAAAGAAGATGATTGAAACTTTACAATGTACAAATACTAATAGGTTTTAGTCGGAACATGAACTGAGAATCAATCCTGCAGATTTTGCCTCCATAAATAAAATCTCAAAGATTGGATGCTCCTGTCAGAGCTGTTTGTAATTATGATGTCACTGCCTCTCGCCTAATTACATCACACAGGAATGGAACCTTCCCGGTCTTTTCAAGAAATATCTGGGGGGGGGCTCAATTAAGACGTAATGAAGATCTCTGAGGTTTAACTGTTCGCATGTCAGTGACTTAGCACTGTGCTGCTCCGTGTCCCTGCTATCTTCAGCTCTGTCTGGGAATAGTTGTCCTAGCGGGTGGATTAGGCGCCTTATCCCTGACGTAAGGGAAACGGCGGCAGGCTGAGGGCCTCGGGTGCACAGGTCAGAAACGGAGCATGTGCAGCAGCACTGATCCTCGGGAACAACAAGCTCTCGCTCTCACAGGTACAGGTTGTTTGGTGTCGAGGCCTGCGAGCCGCTTCTCGAAGGAGGGATGAAGAAATGAACACGCGGCTGCAGGAGGATAAAAGCAACCTTGTGTCTTATCTATTTAAACAACTGAATGTGAACCATAACCGCTTTATTTCCCTCGATGCTTGTTTGACTGAGTCACATCATGAGGACGTCGTCGCCCGCACGTCACATCCCGCTCGCTCAACTGATTTTGTCCCTGGTTGACGAGGCTGTTCTTCCTGCTAGCGTCTCCTCGCAAAATTATTGTGACTCTCAGGGGAAATTATCAATCAAGGCCCGAACACGAAAGCAATCAGGCAATCAGACATCACGAGCACTTTTCTGAGCTTAAAATTCAAAAACTGTCGAGTGAAATGTTTCATAAGACGTTCAGGGGGTTGGAGGCTGCGTCCTGTTGCTAGGAAACCGTGAGGATGTTGTTTTCGCAGTGCGTGATGAGGCCCAATGGGAAAGGCTGTATCTGTTCCACTCAAAGTCCTGCTCCCTCTGGACGCTTTCAAGACGGAAGACGGGAAAGATGGAATAAACCAGTGAAGCAGCTCAGCTCTGTTCGTTGTCACTGTTCAACAGAAATGATAGAAAATCACACTGCAGCAGGAAAAGGTCTCTTTTTCTGGATCCTTCAGTTTCAAACACTTTGTTTAGGTGAAGCTCGTCTCTGCCCAGTTTCTGTTATCTTGTGTTTTCACCTGCGTTTGTTTGCTGGTTGGCAGGATCACACTTCCTCTAACACCGTCAGTCACAGCGTAACAGAATAATTCATCATCTCGATCGTAATAAATGTTGAGGGGACTGATATTTATGTGTTGCAACTTCAAAGCAATAAACAAAAATGTCTGAGTTGCTGACAAAGAGATTTGATGAGAGACTCAGAATACGACAAAGAGATGGTTTCACTAATGAAGAAACAAATAAACATATTTTTAAAATGCATTAATCGGAAGCACGCACCAGTTTGCACGAGACCCAACGTTTTCCAATCGCCAGGATCATAATTCAAATTATTTTAAATAACAATAACAATACCAGACCATGACAGATCCAATAATATCACAACAAAGATTATTTCTGAGGGACTGAATTCATGGCTCCTACACTTTGAGTGTGCGCAGTTTGGTGCAGATCCAAATAAAAATCTGGACCTGGTGAATTGAAATGTGATTTCACGAGGAGTGCTGTTTGAGAGTCGAGGTTATTTGCCGCAGATCGTATTAAACCGTTCTGTACTCTCCAGCCGAGGCTGATGTGTTCTGCCTCCTCAGCCCTCAGCACGGAGCCTGGCTGTTTTGCCCAACAACACGCTGATGTCACAGCACTGGCTCGCTCACACCTTTATTTACTGCAGGCCTCTGATCCGCCGCTCTCAAGCCACTCGCTGAACACCGGACCGCTAGAGGACCTGCTGCTTATTAACGCTGACCTCACAAGAATCAGGCCAACACAGGGGAGTGTGTGTGTGTGTGTGTGTGTGTGTGTGTGTGTGTGTGTGTGTGTGTGTGTGTGTGTGTGTGTAGTATACAGAGACGTGTTGCAAAACATTCACACATTAGTTTATAAGGGCTGTACGATAAGAGAAGACAAAATAAATAAGATAAGATGAGATACAATAACTTTATTAGTCCCACTAGGGGCAATTTAAAAATCAGTAAAGGTAATGGATTAGTAAATTAGCCAATGAGTTGCACTTTCTTACTTCACTGATCAATTAATTTGTCTATTAGACGAAGAGAAGCAGCAAATGAGAAGTTAGAACAAAACATTTAGGAATTTAATTATTTTTCAAACAAATTAAAAAAGACCACTTGAACGAGCCGCTCAGCTGACTGCACAGCCCGGAGCCATCAGGACGGTCGGACTAACAGCCCGAGCATCTTGTTGTCTAAGACTTCAGTAAAGACGGATTCCTCGTGTCAATCCTATCAAAGCAGTAATCTGTCCTGAAACTCAAACAGCACGTTGAGAGCCTGGAGCCCCCGACCAGGCTGAGTGAGAAGATATATGAATCACTAATTGTGGTAATCAATTAATGTAGTATTTCAGGTTTATCAACATCACAGTAGAAATATAGAGAGAGACACGATGCTTAGAACTGCAGCTTGAAAACAGGAATCTGGTCAAAACCTATTTTACCTTCATTCAACAACTGGAAGACAAATGTGAAGAGAGAGAGTCTGAAATCAATGGATTCAATTTATGAATTATATAGAATTCAGCCCTGAAGAGTTACGTCTGTTGATGTGATGTATACATATGCAACATGTATGATATGCTCTACATGTGTAGACAGTCATACCTTTTAATCCTTTATATATACTGTATATGTATATTATATATTTTTTACTGCAGCTGCTTCAATCACTAAAGGACTCTCACAAGAAAAACAGGGAGAAATTCTACTGTTGATTCAAAAAACCAAGCAGGAAATTAGAACTCAGTGAACTTTTGTTCAACAAGATCAACAACAATTTTAAATGTGAGTGCGATGTACTTACGACCCCAACTCCTCCATGATGTCGAACACCTCCTGGATGTTCTCGGTGTTCTTCTTCCACACGTAGTCGGCCTCTTGGCGTCCCATGTCTGCGTCTGTGGGGGGTTCTTTCAGATGTGAGGAGAGAGAAAAAGGCACGTGAACGATGCTCGATATTAATCCTGGCTTAATATCCAGACGCCCTCATCATCACAAACAGAAAGTCGTCTGGGATTATGGTCGAGGCCGTGAGACGGCAGGCATGAAGGTTGCGCTGCTCAGACTGTCTGACAAAGACACAGCTGCTGCGTCCTCCTGCAGACAGAAGGTTGGAGCACTAATCTCATCTGTAACTGACTCACTGGCTCTGAAAACACTGGACGACACTGCTGCGCAGGAATAAGCCTCAGAAATCAGCAGCAGCAGCAGCAGCAGCAAGATTCCAGTGCATTGGAATTTTTCTGCACTGCCTGGTCCAAAAGTGTTCAAGATTAAAAGTTGACCAACAATAATAAAAGCTCTGATGTTAACTTGGCTCAGATGACGAACTCCTCCAGTTTCAGGACAAGAGAGAGTTCCAGAACTTATCTAATGACTTATCTCACAGAAGGATTAGGAGAACTTTACATGAACAGGATATGCAGCTCAGTTTCCTGCCCTCTTTTCTCTTATATAATGGATTAGTGACTCTTGATCTGGAGGCCTGACCTTGTCACGGCTCAAACTGCTGGAACAGAGACTCAAACCATGCAACAGGTCGAGCAGGATGAAAACCTGGACCGAAGGTACTTGTTGAACACAAAAGCAAAAAGCCACGAAATGCTTGGATCCACATGCAAACATCACAGCTCGACACACGGAACTGTAAAACATGACATCTACGTATCAGTGCATGATTCAAACCAGGTCTACGCACACACGCTGATCAGCTCTGAGGCTCTTCTGCTCTCACCTCTTTTATTTTACTGCAGTCGTTTGTTCAACGAGCTGCTGTTTGGGTCAGAACATGCGATGGAGCAGAGAATCTACATTCTCGTGCAGAAACAGTGATGATGCACAACCTGCAGCACTGATCCACATTTCAATGCAGGGACTTTTTTTAAGAGTCACAACAACAGCAGCATCTCTTATTCTCGGCTCTTTGCTCCCTCTCTTACCTGCAGGGTTTTACACCAGTGCACAGGAGGGTAATAACAATAATAGCAACAACGACAGCTCAGTGCACAGAGTCCCTGCTCCTTCTCTCTCTCCTCTCATGCCACAAGTTGGCTGCAGCATCAGATCTCACTCTGCGGCAAAACAGAAGACTGGTCAGATATTCAGCTCAGGCTTGAAGCACTCGGCTCTCACAGACAACGTCACTGAGCAGAAGCAGGGAATCACAACATTACGCTCAGAATACAAATGAAGCAACTCTGGCGCTCTGCAGGAAAAAAAAAACCCACAACAAACACAATCCTCAAGAGCTGCAACTCTGCAAAATGAACGGATCTGAATTCCTCCAGATAAAAGTGGTTCAGGTGACGGAGAAGAGGCTGGAGATGGGATGGGAGGTGATGTGGGGCTCACCTGGACTCTGTGCGCTGCCGCTGCAGGAGCTCCGCTGCTCTGACTCTCCTGAGCAAAGCTCGACCTGGTCTGGACGGATTACTGCGTCTGGGACCCGACTAATACCTGTCGTCCGGTCGGAGATTACGTCCATGGAGAGAGGAGGCGAGGGGGGGGGCGGACACTCTCACAGGTGCTCATTGAGAGGATCCAGCTCAGGCTGCTGCTGCTGCTGCTGCTGCTGCTGCATCGCTCCTCATCTCTGCACACATGCTGCAGGTTTATATGGGAACCTGTGCGTCCTGCGCAGAGGAGCGGCTCCTTCCCCGAAACCAAAACATCCACGATTCATTCACTCACCTCGCGAGCGAGTGCATGCACGTGTACGCGCACAACAGTTTGAGCACGCTCCTCAGCACAGATGGAAGTGGACTTGTTTTATATATATATATAAATATATAAAGTCAGGAGTGTGGTGCATACTGTTTGATTTGTCTGCAGTCTGCTTATAAAACCACATTTACTTTTATGTGAATCGGCACCAAACTGCACAGACTCTTAAATATCAAGGGCCTCAAAGCATCAGAATGTTTTATTATAATAAAGGAAAATGTGAAAAATAAATCCTGGATCTGCACCAAAAATTTTGTGTGTTCTTCCTCAGGTCCAGGGGCGGATCTATGACTTTTCTGTCAGGGGCCACAATTTACACAGAGGGGGCCAATTACATGTCCAACATCCACGCACAATTCCTGCGTGGTGAACATTTAAAAGGATAGTTCACCCAAAAGTCCAAGTCCGAGCCCCTGCTTGGGTCCGCCACAAAATGTAATGGAGTTATTTTTGCGTATTCTTGCAAACTAACAATCAAACGCAGAAATATTTGACAGAGGTAAGAAAACAGTTTATAAACGTATATATATATAATTGTTTTTTACATTTGTATATGTCTATGTACGTATATTTGTACACTGTGTTCTCTTTATTTATTTTCATACTAATTCTTTTAATCTCAGCACCATGATGAATCTTCCTCGGAGCCCAGCGGTTCAAAGTGTTCCGGCGTCACAACCTGGAAACACAAACTTTGTTCTGAAGAAAAACTTATTGATGATCTATGAAGAGATAATGTAAACAGGTTTCGAGCGAGTTCTATTCACTAATTCACACACACATACAACGCACTGTTTGAATTACAGAGCAAGCGAGTGAGGGCTCAGTATCTTGCCCGAGGACGCTTAGGAAGACGGAGTGGAGGAGCCGGAGATCGAACCACCGACCTCCCGGACGGTGTTTGCACAGACTGATGCCCTCACCACTGCAGCGTCGGCCTGTATAAGCCTGCAGCAGCGAACTGTGGTCTTCAGAGGGGACCTTTAACAAGCTTATGTTTTAATCTGCATCGGGTGCTCATGTCGCCTGCCTCTCTCTCTCGGCCTCAAAGGACAGGTCACCGTGACACGGCTCCTCTGATGGTGTATTTACTGCACACACACCAAACCTGCAGACCCTGGCAAAAAATTATAATCATCCACAAATAATTCAAATCCAAAGCTGCAGCGATGCAGGCGGGTCCTGGAGGCCAATAACAAAAAATAAAAAAAATAAATAAAAAACCTGTGAAGAATATCAGCAGCTAGACTTTCTCATCGTGTTGTCATGGTTACGGGTTCAGCGGGTTGTCATGGTCATCTCCCATCTGAGGTATAATTTGTAAGAAGCCAGAACGAGCTGAAGTCTTTTACAATCAGGAGAGAAGTAGTCGGGGCTGCGGAGAACAACACGATGGATGTTAACCTGCACAACAGCAGCAGAGGGGGTCAGAAATCCTGCAACCTGCAATTACAGTGTTGTACTTTTACTGCGTCTATTACTTCAAATGATGAAACACCATGAAGTTCACTTTTAATGTGAGAGGTAGAGACGCTGATTGGAAAGATGCGTTGTCCGTGTGTTTTGTTTTCACGACTTTAGGGAAACTGTACATCACACAGGTTTAAACACTAACACAGGAAACTGCTTTATGATTTACAGAATCACAACCTTCTCTGCGGAGGTATAATAACACATGTTATGATATTCTACCACCAACTCAGGAGTAATGTGAGCAAAATGTACTTAAAACATAAAGTACAAGTACAAAATGAGTTGTACTGTTACCTCTGCCAACGAGCTAATGTCTCATCTGTGTTTCTTTGCCTGTGTGTGTGTGTGTGTGAGAGTTTAATCCAAATAAAAACAGAGTATTTAAATACTCTGAGTATTTCTTCCACCTCTGATGAGTTTCTCCTGTGTTCTTGTTTTATGGTTTGATTCTAACCTGAGGGACATCCGTCCTGCAGGACACGTCCACTCCGTCAACACCTGGAAACACCAGAGGTCTTCAAACGTATGATCAGAGACATGAAAAAAAAACTAAAAGCAGCAAAGTGCGTGATCTTTATTTCATATAACGTGAAGTGCCGCCCAGGTGGCACAAAATGGCAGCAGAGCGATAAATACATAAGGCTCCTTTTTAACTAACAACAAAGTGGCTGCGTCTCGATCGTGGCTCTTCTGCCAGCGCACGAACAGAAACACCTGCAAATGATAAATGATAGAATTTATAAATAGATGAACCAGTTTCGTCTCCTTTACGTTCACCGACAGTCCGCCTGTGTCCGTGTAACACACCACCACCTGCCGGAACATTTCAAAATCAGCAGAGTGCAAGTCCATCTGTGAAAACCCCAAACTCTGATCCCAGAGGACTGAACCAGCGACCCCTGAGTGGAACGACGTGGTGAACGGCAGGAAGTGCTACACAATTCAGAAACTTTCAAAAAATAAGAAACAAAAATAATGAATAATTGGATTTTACTTTTGATAATTCTAATATTTAAACTGTAAACTCTTAGTTTTTTTTTTTTTTTTAACCTTAATCATATTTCTATTCAATATACCAAATAATAATAGAAGTATGATATGTACTGTATATTATATCTGTGTTTACAACAGTACAGGAACATCACATTGTTTTAAAAACCCCAGTAACCCTGTGTTTTACAGATCAGGCTCTCAGGCACCGCAGGTTTCTCCACCGATGTAATTCTACGCTGCTCGAGTCACATGTCTGCGACACCTAAACCAGGCCAGGCCCGCGGCTTGGTAACGATTACCTGCTGCGTGGAGGTTTGTTCACCAGTGCAGCAGAAACTAAACATCCTTCTCCCTACGTGTTGTGTTGCTGTGACTCTGCCGTCAAAGCTGGCGGCGGGGGGTGGGGGGTGGGGGGGCTGAGCTGCAGAGCTGCGTGTGGACTTTCTCAGATCTCCAGGGTTATGTCTCCCTCTAGGGGCCGGAGTGTTCTCATTCAGCCTTCGTCCCTGTGAGGCCTGAAGATTTTATCCTCATCGCCATGGAAGCGCCTGTGGTCGGTTACTGTCCGCTAACGATTCTGCAGCATCTTTGGCTTTGCAAAAGTTTAATCTCAGGTTTAAAGTCAGCAGATAAGAGTGCGTCTACTTCCGCGTACACACAGGTCCATGCTGCATGTGCACGTGTGTGTTTGTGTGTGTGTGTGTGTGTGTGTATATGAGTGTGTGCGTGTGCATGTGGAAGTCCTATGCCCAGTGAACCTGAGCTCCTGCCTTCGAGTGCCGCCTGGCCTCCATAATGGAGAAGGCCTCCTGCTCCTCGCTCATCTCCTTCAGCCTCTTCTCTTCCAGAAACGACACCAGAGAGTCCCTCATGTCCACCACCTCGATCATCTGCTGCAGGACTCGCTCCTCCTCCGCCTCCAGCTCCGGCGTCTTGTCTGCCGGACAAATACAAGCAACATATTTATAATAGTCACGCGTGAATGACGATGTAAAGACAACAATGATAACACGCTGGCTGGGTCCGTCACATCTGTTCGCTTCCTTTGTTTGTCATTTAGCAGGATTACTCACAATCTGCTGCACAGATACTGAAACTAAACCAGGTGGTCGGATGTGATACCGCTCAGGAAAGAACCGATTCAATGCTGGTGCCGTTCCAGGATGTTTTTTTTTCTTCTGTCGTTACTTTGTGAGATCTCAGAGGATGAATTAATGGATCTTGATGGAAAAAAATCTGACGTATTTATCTACGAGTGTCCAATTAGATGCAACTTGATTGAATTTAAGGGGCCAACAGTTAATATGAGGCTAAATCAGTCTGAGTTAATCAAATCAAGTGTTTGTTTTTTTTTAAGTGACTCCACTGAGGTTTGGCTCTTTAGTTAATCACACTGAGGGAGTTTGGGATTTAAGAGACGGTAACTTGAAAATAGCGATTTATTAGGAATTAGGGATTTTATTCCTCAGCTCTTAAACTGGCTCTAAATATCCACACGAGCATCTGAATGTTTGAAACTGAAAAATGTAAAAAAAAAAAACTATAAATAGACTCGAGGAAATGCACAATCATCCCATAATGCAACACTCTCTGTAGGAGCCAGTGTTACATCGGTGCTCTCTACATTAAGGAAAGACTATCTGGTGTTGGTTCTGAAAAACAGTCCTTGTACATAACACCACCATGGACAAGGGTCATGTTATATTCAGGGAAACAGTGTGATGTTTAAAATGCACAATGACTGTATTCAGTTCTCTAACTGCAGCGGAATCAAAAGGTCTCTTCAAGAGGCGTCGACAACTCGTGTTTTCATGAGCGCACAGAAAAACTACACACCATTCAGCTCCATGAACTTCCTGAGCTCCAACTCCAACATGCTCTGCTTGTCCTCCAGCTCCAGCTGTCGAGACCTGGGAGAACAAAAAACAAAAACAGACATCCGCTGAGTCACGTCGACACGGCTGCTCGCTTTAGAAGCGAGTCGTCGTAAAAAAGGATGTACAGCAAATACAGTCCGACCGCGAGCTGAGAACAAACAACCCAGTGTTTTGAGGCGGATGTCTGATGTTGTGGACATTCTGGCCGCCGTGTCATTTCTACCACGCACAAAAGCTGCGTTGTGTTCCCGGTGTGACGAGAGAGGAGTTCACTGTGCACCGACTGTTTGAATTTACAAAGTGAGTCACTCACGCCACCATGAGGTCAGACTCCTCAGACACCAGCGCGTTCTTCTCGTGCACGAGTTGGATCCAATGCTCGATCATGTCGGGAGAGCCGCTGCTGCCTGGAAGAGGAAAAAAATACATCAACGGTAGAAAGACACCGCCCTTATTGTGTATTCAGTGTGTTTAACTTGTGACTTAAATGACGCAGGAGGCCTCAGGGCCTCCGAGAGCCGTGGCTTTCACAGTCAACCGAAGTAAACAAGGCCCTTGATAATATCAGGGATTAGAAATCATGAATGTGCTGTTTACGTGTGGCTCTCACCAGCCTCGCCTCTCAGAGTCCTCTCCAGCACGACACCTTTATCCTCCAGATCCTTGAAGGTCACCTCGATCTCCTCCAGTCTCCTCTGGATGGACTGTAACCCACAAACACAAGACCGAGAGCGTAAACAAACATTTGATTCATCGTGAAACTGCAGCGGGTCAGAGGTTAACCTTAACGAGAACATGKATGTATTTACATAACCGAACACCAACCTGTGCGTTGCGCAATCGCTGCAATTCGCTCATCTTGGCTCGTCGATCCAGCGTCCTCATCTTCCTCAACTCCAGCTTCTCGGCCTCGACGGGGTCCGACGGCAGAGTCTGTGAGCAGAGGGTGACGTGTTAATGTCGTGAGTGTGGCCGTGGTAAAATGTGAGATGACATCAGATCCATTCCTCTTCTTTTACCTTCTCATCATACAGGTCGATGTCGTCTCGTTCAAACATGTCGTCCTCGTCCTCGTCATCGTCATCTCCATCGGCTCCCTCCTCTGAGGTGCTGTGCACGTGTCTGAATGTTGTTTCTGTGAACGAAGAACCCAGAGAGACTCAAAAACACTGCAACCATTCTATCTTCACTCAGGATTAAAAGGAAGTCCTCAACTCACCCGCTCTCCCTGGATGATTAACGAGGACACTGAGCCGGGTGTCTCTGCTGATCCTCGGGGAAGAGAGATTCCAGGGGGAAAACTTTGATCGTACTCTGTTCTGGCCGCTTCCCGGCATCTCTTTCCTCTTGAAGCAGCGGCGATTCCTCTTCTCCCGCATGTGGCCGGTGGTGCTGCTGCTCCAGTAGCCCTCCTCTTCCTGCCCGTCCAGGCCCCCTGGTTTGGGAGGGCTCGGACCTCCTGCCGTCGCTGAGGAAGAGGAGCAGGAGGAGGATCCTCCGGGGGTCTCAGAGTCTGAGTCTGCGCTAAAACTTTGAAGATTCACCAGCAGGCTTTTCTCCTCGTCGGTGAGCTGCAGCTTCCGCAGCGATTGTTTCGGTCGGAAGTCGGGTGCGGCCTTAGAGGTCTCCTTCACAGGGGGCGCAGACGGGGGATTCTGTGGAGTTGAGGGGTTTAAAAGGTGGACTGTGCGAGGCTTCGCTATTGGAGGGGAGGGCTGCGGGGTGGTCTGCTGAGAGAGGCGGGGCTTGGGGACGGGGCAGGGCGCAGCGGGCGGACGCTCCTCTGACTCCTCCTCGGCGGGAGCTGCTACCTGGGCTTTAGATGGAGGATCCGTGGGAGTTTCTCCGGACTCTTCTTTGGATTCATGTTTGTGCTGCTCCTGCCCATCACAGATGTGCGACGCTGCACGTGAAGAGGGGACACAGTCCAACGTGTGCTCATACTCCTCGTCCGATGGAGACAGCGTGTAATCATCGCTGGAAAGACCGTTCTCATCGTTTGTCCCCTTGTCCACTCCTTTGCTGTCCTGCAGAGAGAGAGATCCCACATTGAATCAATTCATTCTTGATGAAGATTGTTGAACGAGAACATAAAACATTCCAGTCAAATTAAATGATCATGATAGAAACATCCCGGAATATCTAAAGGGGACTTTGATTTGTTATGTTTGTCACTGCAGTAAAACAAGATCAATTAAGGAAGATGTAGAAAAGATTATTTAAAATACTGTTGTATTTTTACTTCCAAACTAAACACAAACAACTATATACTTGCCAAAAATAAATAAATGATAGATACATGTCTCCTGCACAGCTGAAGAACAGTTCCTCTAGAAAAAGTGATTTATGTACAGGGGAAACAATATTATATTAAAAAAGTATGAGGTCAATTTGCTGCTTTTGTGAAATGTACAGTTCTGTCACAGAGAAGAGGAGGGGTGGGTTTTACTTGATGAACCCTACGATATGTTTATGAAAATAAAAAGGATGGAAGATTGTTGATGAGCCACAATAATAAAAGTTTTTAAAGAAAAGAAAAACCACAAATCACTAAAACAAACTCATCCACAGACGACGCACGCTCCGAAACAACACATTCTCATTATAGCGATGCACGGCGGCTGTGATGGAGTGAGCCCTGCAGGCCCCTGACATCGGACCAGGCGCCAGCGGGATGATACGTCGTGCAACCGGCAGATTGTGAAACATGAGCATTGTGAACACGAGGAGTCAACATGCAGTCTGGAGTCATCAGCGGCAGCAGAGGGGTTTTCTGCTCAGTGACCCACCTTACAAGATGGTTCAGCCCCGTTCACCAGCTCCAGATCTTCAGCGTGCAGCTCACAGTAAAACCTCCCTGAGGGGACGTCACAGACCGAGACAATGAGAGGAGTTGAAAAGTCAGAGGCAAGTTTTCTTAAATGATTAATCTCTTGTTAGTAGAAACGGGAGCCCACTTAAAAAGGGTCTGAAATTATTAATTGCACAAACATAAATAAATAAAAGGGGCGGCAGAAATTATATACAAGAAATACAAGTGATTCTGTGTAAGAATCCAGAAACCTGTTCATTTTATCAGCTTCACACTTGTAAATGAGATATACGATTATCGATATGCTGGTAACAAATATTTAGCTTGTGTAGTATAGTACAGTGGTTATTTTACATTTGAACGATGCACTAAGATATGTGCATTGTTTCATCTCAGTTTTTAATCAAACCTTGAAACTGACACCACGATGAACAAATACACAAATCCTGCACTTCACCTCTTCAGGGACATTTTGTTTTTTCCGTCTTCAGTTGGACAGATATCATGATGTATCGCTACGTAATTTTATTGCAATACATCGATGATATTACAGTAATCACGTGTGGTATTTTATTGTATCGTGAGGCCAAACAAGCGGCTACTAGAAATCACACCAAACACAGACACTCTGACAGTTCAGGCGACAAACTGAAAGGTTGTTGTGTTACTGAATAAATACGAGTCTCTACCTGTAGCCTGGTCGAAGGTGTACCCCCCCAGTCGGAGGGTGATGCTGCACTGGTGGCAGGTGAAGCAGCTCCGGTGGAAGAACTTGCCCTCGGCACTGATGCGCTCCAGCACGTAAACCCTTTGACCACAGAAGTAACACTCGTCACTGTTCGTCATCGACACACCGGCACCAGGCTCGGGAGCAGGAGCGGGAGCAGGCGTGGGACTGAGCTCAGGGGACACGGCAGGCACCAACGTCTGCGGGAAAAGATCACAAGGCCGGAAATGAAACCCAGCAAAACAAAATTAGCAAAACACGAGAAGAGAAGAATCAGGAGAAAGCTGCCACAGCTGAATTTTGAGCAGCAGAACAAAACTCACACTGTCCTCATCTCCCATCCTTCTGTTGCTCTCTCTTGTTGGTTTGTCTGCTGCCAGCTTCTCCTGCAGAGAACAAGCACAACAACTATTTACTACCGCATGACCTAGTTATGTGTTTAATCTGGAGTCACAAACCCAAACAGACACGGGAGTTACGGAGAACACACAACGAGGCCCCAGACGTGAACTCCAGCCGACGTGCCACAGTGTTTGAAAAATATCTTTATCTTCTTATTTGCTGTGTAAACAGTGAACTCCGGTCACAGTGGGCGTACCTTGCGTCTTTGCAGAGAGTTGTGCTTCAGCTTGCTCAGGAAAAAGACGGCCGACTGCGTCCGGGAGAGACTCAGAGATTTGGAAGACGGCAGGAAGCGTGCGGGGTCTGTCGCCATAGAAAATAAAAGAATGTCACTCGCATCAAAATTCAGTTTCATCTTCACATTAAAGTAGAGACAGACATCCTGCAGACATGTGAGCATCGCCACTGGCCTATTTACAGCTGTGCAAACAGCTGCCTGAGATATTCTAATCTAATCTCCCAGGTTCATCTTTCCCTGTTGGACACACATGTAAATAAATCTCATTTGTATTTTCTGCAGCCCCACAGCAGCAGAAGCTGAATTGAACTCAAAACCACATAAAAAAAACTCCTCAGCTGCTGCTCTGACCAACACTCCCACTCTTCCACTCAGTCAGATCAGGTAACCAGAGACAGACAGCTCCCTCCTGCCTGCACATCAGTCAGCGGATCCCGTGCAGAGCAGCACAGCATCACACAGCGTACAGTGCATCACACCCACTTCAGCTGCTTCCTCCAAACGCTGGGCTGCACATTTACGCTGCACAAACTCCTCACGCCTCAACGCGGCCGTGGAATCAATACCTCTGCCGCAAGACGCCGAGAGCAAATCCTCCTCCGGTGCAGCAATAGCAGATCCCTTTCAAGAGACGCCAGTCCCATCAGACCCTGATAAGCCAGCTCCGCACGGTGACTGCCTGCTCTGCTGTAGTGCAGGAGAGCAGCTCCACCAGCAGAGGCTGGATCTGTGCACGGCACTGGCCACTCAAGTCCAATGAATTCTGGGTAACGGGCTCTTAAAGAGACAGCTGTGATTTGCTCACTTCTCACTTCAGTGGGAGGACACCTGACATCTTTAAAGGCGGCGTTAATGCCACGCAGTGTCCTAGCAACCGAGTTATGTAAGATCAATGCTGCCGTCGCCACTAGAAACACAGCAGAAATTTAAACGTCATTAAAATTGTTATAATTGGTGATTAATAATTCAGTTCTGTTTGTGAATCAACGTGTTTGTTTTGATCCGGTCCATTATCAAAACTGTGATTAATGCCCGCCCCTTGTTAAATAGGTGACTCAGCCAATCAGAGCAGAGCTGCGTCGTCACAGTTCCGAGCTGCAGCTGGAGGGGAACAACTGCAGCGATGCTTTAAGATCCCGTGACACGGTCGGGTTTTGCAGCGCTCGTTAAAGTCGGACCAAATCTCTAACCAGCATGCATCGCGTTATGTCAGCGCTGCGGGGAGCCACGTAAAGGAAGCTCTCAAAAAAGGAGGAAATGGTTGCTGTGGTTTTGTTTTTGTAACACATACCCAGAGTTTTATCCTTCGCTGGCACGGTGAAGGCGTTCTTCACCTGGGTGAGGTAGAGCACCATGGATAACTTGTCTATCTGACTGCTGTTGGCCAAGTCGCTGGCAGACATGACGGGAGGGACGCCCAGCTCCCTCTCCAGGACGCTGCAGGCCAGCTGGTTGTTGTGAGCAGCTCTGGACTCATCCAGGGAGCTCATGTCACTGTGGAGGAAATCAGAAGGAAGCGGCTATGTTAGGATGCAGACTGTGACGCTTCCTCGTGTGTTTACATCCGAGGCAAAAACACAAGAGGGAACTAAATATTGAAATCACAACGGAAAAATGTTTTTACTCGCAATGGAAAACACACATGAACCTCCACCAAGGGGGTTTTCACCACTGTCCGTTTGTGTGTCTGTTAGGAGAATTATTAAAAAAGTACTTGGTGGAAAGGATGTGGTGTGAACTCATTCAATTCAGGTGCGGACTTAGATGAGGGGGTGGATCCAGGAACTTTATTTTCACTCTTTTAACATTGTGAGAATGTTTTTTAGATATTTTCTTGTATTTCCCAGTGAAGTAATTAAAGGATTTTGATGAATCAGACATATTTAGAGGACTGATTTCTATAAATGTGTGTAATTTGAAAGGGACCAAACGGCATCGTGTCTCATTGGCCGTGTCGTCAGCTCACGTCAGGGCAGCGACTCACATGAGCTCGGGTCTGAAGTGATGGATGAGAGCGCACAGAGCCAGGCCGGACCTCCAGGACTGAGTGAAATCTTTCACCTTCACGTGCTCATAACCGGCCGTGTGAGTCTGGCACCATTTCAACAACTCCTCAAAACCGTGGATTGAATCTGAAAATACAAACGCAGACATTCTATAAGACCCTTTTTTCACACTCATATAAAAAATGAGTAAACACCACGAAGACCAGCTGACCGTGACGCATGAAAGAAGACTTGTCCATCTGCTTCTTGCTCGATGGTTGGGATTTATCCACATCGTAAAGGTGCTGCACCTAAATTAAGCGATAGGTAGATTAGTCAAGATATTCAGAGAGCACAAGCTGATTAAAATAAACTGTCCCCCAGCTCAGAGTTCAACAAACAGCAGGTTTTATAAGTCCTATAAAAAATCGATTACTGTCATAATTGCGAATTAATATCGAGGCAAGGACGTGATAAATACCTGGTTGTTTAAATTTGTTGTCAACAAATTAAACAATCCCGAGTAAAAGAAACAGCTAATGAACAGGATCATACAAGAAGAGAATGAGACGTGATTCACATGAGACGAAAACGTATTTCCTCAGCAGCTAAAAGTCTGAATCTGCCACTCCAAGGAGGACATGTTTTAATCTGCACGAGTTTATTTGTTTGATAGTTGGCAGCATTACTCACAAACCACTCATCAGATTTCCATGGATTTTGTGGACGGGTGGGTCATGACCCCCAAGGACAAACACATTTTCATTTATTCCTCAAAATGTTATTCATGGATCAATCTGGCATTTTATGAGTGTGTGACTTTGGTGCAGATCCAAATAAAAATCTGGATCAAAGTGAATGTGGTTTCACAAGGAGACCGAGGTCTGAGCTGAGCTTGTGTGGTGATTCAAATCTCTGTTGGGTAAATAAGGGATGACAGTCCTGACCTGGCCGGCGTGGATGGAGGAGAGGTTGATCCTCTGGTAACGTGTTTTGGGGTTGATGCTGTACCCAGCGTAGTTTTTGCTGGTGTTTTCCGGCGTGGTCTGCGACAGGAGCTGGTAAACGCTTTCTCTGCACAGTTAAGAAATGGAAACATGAAGTAGGATCCAGGCACAGCTGCAGATCAACCATTAATCATCACTCACAGTCGAGGACGGGATTGTGTAACTTGATGAGTTCTGAGATTACTCAATTGGCTCATGTTTCTGATTTCACACAAGATAAAGAGAACTGAAGTAAAACTGACAGACTAGTTTTGTCAAGTTAAATATCGTAAGCTTAAAATTTTCATGTTTTTACACGTAGACATTTATTTTTTCAAACGCCAGAAGCCCAGAGTCACATCAGGGAACTATGCTGGAATACTTTTAATGGCCATGCAATCAAAACAACTATTCATCAAATTAATTATCTCAGGGTGGGAGGTGTTGCTGATGAGGAGATCCACAGAGACACTGATTCATTTTGGCACTTTATGTTAATAGTCTTCAAGGTAACAAGTTGAATTTAAGCTTTTTATTAATTTCCATCGCCGTTCCCACAGACAAGCTGAGTGGACTGAGATAAATGAGTTAGTTATCAGCTCCATGTTGCTCTCGTGTGTAGTTTAATTACAGCGTATGGTTGAGAAAGAACTACAGAACACGGAGACGCTAAAAACTATGATGTGTGCCTCTAAAACAGACGCAGCTTCAGATGAACGTTAAAAACATACCTAAACATATTTATGACTTTTTAAGGCCTTAAATTCAGATTGTTGAAGTTGGTTCTTCTGCAAAAAAATACCTGAATCTGTCCAAATCCTTACTTCAGTTATACTTCAGCCAAACCCCAGTACTAATAACACAACATGAGAATTTCACTGTACAGAAAACTGATGAGAATACTTTCACTTCTTCTCGTAAAGTAAGTAAAGTTTATTCAGTACAAGCACCTCTCCATACTGCTCCATGTGAATTAAAATATCCGGTTTTTTAACGCTACATCGCACAAAATGAGAAACAGGCCAACGTGAATAAATGAGTTTTCATCTCTCGGTTAGTGGCTCATTTATTGAGTTAGCAGCAGCAGTCAGTGTAGGTGGTGAGAAGGAGGCTGCGGCTACATCACGAAACCTGCTGCGTTCCTCACGAAACCCGATCCGTCTGCATTGTGCACGGTCGAGTGAAACTTGCTCACCGCTCAGCCAGGACCTTGAGGTGTGGGACTCTCATTCCCCAGCTTCTCACCATCCAAGCGGTGTCAAAAGCAGCCAGGAAGCCACGAGCTATGCCTGTTCCCAGAGGCCAGAAAGGCTGCAGAGAGAAAAAGAGAGAGAGAGAACACAGTGAGACGATCTCACCGTTAAGTGGAGCAGCAGGGACACTGGAAGTCAGACTGAGCTGCTCGTGCTGAGAGAAAAATCTATATATCGTGCCGTTATATTCAAGAAGAGTATTTTATCTGCTGAATAAATCCACAAACATCTGTCTGACATCTCGTGAAGCGCTGCAGTGTCGAGTTTGGTGCTGGGCAGTGGGACTTGAACATGTCTTCTCCTAGGTCCTCAGATGAACTACAGCAGCGGTTGACACCTGGGTCAAACCACGGCTCAGAATCGCCACCAGATTGTTTTTTATTTCATCGTATCGACACAGACTGAGCCGCAACATTCATAGAAACGCTTCCTGTTTGTTAATTTGTCTTCAGAGTAAAATCTCGTGGTTTTGTTGCTGCAATGCTTGACACTGAGCTGAATTACAGAGCTTTTATTTTGAAAAGTGATGCATGAATTAAAAAAACAAACAAACAAGTAATTAAGTACGTGAGCTATAAACTCTTCACTGCAGATAAACCAGGCAGGATGAACACAAAGTTTTCTAACTTCACTCTGCACTAAAGTCTGTTCATAAAAATCTCTTTCCTCTTTGAGGAGGAATAATTCTGAAGCAGCGTCAACACAGGAAGAGAACACAACATCACAAACAGACGTCGCCCCCCCCCCCCC